ACTTTGCAAGAGTAAACTTGTTAATAAAAACTAAATATAAGTAGTTAGTTAGCAAAAGAGCCTCCTAAAGCTCTATAGTTAGATGATATATTTGAAATATGTAATAGCTTAACAGACATATAAACAAGAAGCTCAGAATTAGGTTAGACAGTATTTAAGCATATAGAAACTTGTATATTATTTGGCAAATATAGTATAAAGATCAAAGTATAATCTTCTACCAGATTACAGATATGGCAGCTAGTATAAAATCTGCAGACAGACTACTTAAATAGATAACCAAAAGCTGTATATGTAGTTAGTTATACATTTAACTTATATAAGTTATATAATTATAATTAAATCACAATAAAAGCAGTAGCTGCCAATAACCAATAGTCTTAGTAAAAGCAAAAAAAAATAATAGAAATAAATTAGTAAATTAAATTATTAATACATATATAAAATATTTCATGATAATGTTTATTAAAAATTAAAAAATTGAAAATAGTAAAATCTAAAAGAAAATTAAAAAGTAAAAATTTTAATCAATCAAATTTAATTTTTTTTTTTTTGAAATTAAGGTGAGGTTTTGCTTATATCTTTATTAATTTATTAAAGATGCTCTAGAAGCTTCTCTGAATATAAATTACAAAATCTATTTCAATTACAAATTTGTTACAAGAGTAAAGCTCAGACTATAAAGAGAAACTAACTGTTATCTATCTAATTTATCTGCAATCTAAACCTACTAGAGTAGTTAAAACTTATCTAAATTTGATAATATAAAATGTTGTTTGTAGGATAACTGTAAAGTATCCAATAGTCAAGCCATAAATTAATTTTATATAGAGTATGACTGAGTGGTAGGCAAGTATTTAGATTAATATGTTTTAAGCTTGATAGTCCATATAGATTGCAAGTTGTACTATGTAATTAATATCTGTTAATATGGTATATATTATTGTGGTTAATTTGTGTAAATCTTTTTTGTTGATTTTTGGTATATTGTAGAATGTTGTTATCTTTTTTCCATTGTGCCAGTTTTGTACAATATGGTTTCTATATTGTTTATAAACTTTTTGAGACAGCTTATGTAGAAGTTTTGTAGTAATATTTTTTGCTTCTATTTTTGATTGAGTAAATAGTCTAATTGATGAAATAAGGCTAGTAAACATATATCTTTGTAATGTTGTATAAATGTTAGTTTGTTGTAAAATTATATTACTAAAAAAAAGACCATTTTATTGTAAAAGTATTTCTTGTAGTTCATTAATTTGAGTACTAGTAATATCAGTAATATGGATAATTGTTTTTGTTATTGTTTCTTGAATAAGATTGGTAAAGAGTGTAGAGTTTGAACTATAGATACTAGTGAAACTGATAAAATTCTTGGTGAATGATGGTAAAACTGGTAAAATTTAATATAACAGCCAATCAGATTTTAGATAGCCATCAGTTTCACCAACATTATTTAGTTTTACCAGCATTATTTAGTTTCACCAGCATTATTTAGTTTTATCAACATCTATAATTTGGACAAAGAATCTAATATAGTGAGTGTTCTGATATATAACATATGATACAGCTATAGTTATTGCTTCTGGATATAAGTTGTAAAGATAGAAAAGAATAAGTAGTATATTAAGTTGTAGTTTAATTTTAAAGAATTTACTATTTCTAAGTGTAAAATTTGTGTATAAGCTAGTTCTGTTAATATTGTTATTTAGGTATAGTCAGGTTGTTTCTTAGTTAATTTGTAAAGATAGAGAAATAATATTGTTTATTTGATTTTAAGATAACTACATAGCTATTATGTATATATTACAGATATTTTTGATTGCTCATCAAGTAGATTGTTTAATAGTATATTGATTATATTGTATAGTATATAAAGTATTATAAATATTGTTATATCATATATCTAAAAAATTTGTTGAGTTGTGGTTTGATGTGAGCTTATCTATTTTATTATTAAATATATTGTCTTCATGAGCTGGTACTTTGTAAAATGTAATGTTGTGTCTGTATGATTTAATTAAGTTAATAATTATGTACTATATTGGCCAATAGTTATAAGAATATTGTTTATGTTATGATATTATGTTGTTAATAATTTTGTTAAATTTAGAAATTACAGATTATGAGTTAGTATAGATTTGGATATTGCTGTTTTGAGAGCATATGCATATAGCTGATAGAATAGCTACTAGCTCAGCTTTGTAAGATGATGGCTAAAATTTAATTCAAAAAGAATAAGTTTCGATAATAGTATTAATCAGATTAAATATATAGCATAAATAAACTATTTATTATAAATTTTTAACAATTTTGCAAGTGAAAATAAATAATTAATTAGCTTAGAAAAAATTTTAAAGTTGAGTTGTTTACTTGTAAGTTTATTTTTAAAACAAATTAACAATTCTGTTAATAATATTAAAATAATTACATCTGCAGAATTAAATGCTTTTAATATTGCTAATTTATTTTTATTTTTTTTAGTACTATTATCTAATATTTTATAACATCTTAATAATTTTTTATAGATATCAAATATAATTGGTCTACTAGAATAATTAGTATCTATAATTCAATTTGTTAGTTAGATATAGCATTCAAAAGTGTCTTTAGCAAATTTAAAACATAATTTATAACATATTTTTATAGCTACATTTCATTATACTCAATATTATAATAAAAAGATCTTCTTGTAAATATCTTAGATATAATAATATCAAAATTAAAAATATTAGCTAATGTTGTATATAGTTGTTTATTTAATACATCTGGTATAACATAAGGTAAACTATTATAAATTCATCTTCTAAATTAGAATTATTCTTTTTTCTAGATAATCTTAAATCAGCAATATAAAATATTAGATTATATTGATTTGCAATATATTACTATTATAAAAATCTTTATAAATATATTCTGCTTTGTGTATATTTGTTAAATTTTTAGAAATATTAACAAGCTGGTTTAATTACTTTTCCAATTAAGATCTTTAAAATTTAAAAATAAAACATTATAAAGTTTTTTTTATTTGCATATTGAAATACTATTAAATATTTATTATTAGCTGTATCTTGGGTAGTCCATACATTTCAAAATCATTACTCACTAATCTAAATTTTGTGTAACTTTTAAACTTGTTAATTTGAAACAAAATTTATAATATTAATAATTTATAATTTATTTATATTAAATCATAAACAAAACATTTTAACATACTTCTCTTAAAAATTCATTTGTAAATTAGGTAAAGTTTAAATGCAACTACACATGATATTGTATGTAATAATGTACCTATTTTTACTTGTTCATTATTGTATTGATTTTTGAAAGTCACATGTTTACTACCAAATATAAGATGTATTATATCATTTGCAATTTGCATATGTTCCATTATTTATATCTCTTTTACTATAAAATTTATTGCTTGCATACTTTAAGATCACTATTCTTTAACTGTATATAATCTGTAAACATATTAAAATTTAAATATATATTAAAGCTATATATATAATATACCAATAATAAATTACTTCTTTTAACATATCTAATAAATTTTGCATTCTATTTAATATTTTAAACTCCACTTTACATGATGATATATGTGATTGTGTATATTCATATTTACCATTTTTAATTTTATATATTTATAATTTTGAATTCCATCTAGCCATGTTGCTAAAAAACTTTATTACCAATATTTTTGAATATTAGCTAAACTATTAAAAGGAATCCATTCAATTACACTATTATAAGATGTAGCATTAAGTTGAAGTTCCTTAATGCACTCGTCGATGTTCTTATTTCCACTTGTCCATCCTTGTATTGTCTTTTGAGAGTTGCATATTTTGACATCAAGCGTAAAATGTGTTATATCGCTTGTACTTTGCACATGTTCTGTATTCATAATCTCATTTATACCTAAATTTATTAAATACCAAAATATACTCATTTGTGACTGTATTTTGGGTTAATCCATAAATACTTATATCCTAAATTGACCTGATTGACTCATTAATTGCTATATTAAATATATAATAATATTTTAACATACAAATTAAACATACAGATTAAATAAACTACATGTCTGATCTGATTTTGATATAATAAAATAATATAAACTTACTTTTAAATTACTTCGTGTTCGTGTCAATATTTTAATTTCCATCTTACATGATGGTAAATGTGACTGTATATACCCATATTAATTATTAAAATATTCATAATTTACATAACGCATTCCACCTAACCACGCTAAAAATCCATCACCATTCTTTTGAACGTTAACTAAACTATTAATTCGATTACATCTTACATTATCTTCATTTCTTTTAGAACCAAATTCGTCGAATACCAACAAATATTTATTTGTTGCGATGTTTTGAGTTAAACCGTAAATAAGTTCTCATCTGTATGTTATTTGGACTATTTTGTTAACTATTATATTTGCTTCGTTCCTGGTTTCTAGCGTGAATGCGTCGCGCAGCTACCTTATTACATATATATATATATATGTATCGATATATATATATGCTGTATAAAATTAATTTAACCCATAATTATCAATCAATCGCTATGATTAGAAGTAAAAAAAAAGAATAGTTTTTTCTTTATACTTTTTATACTGATATTTCATTTCCATCTACATGTAAAAAAAACCTTCTTTCGAGAAGTTTGTATCTAAAATACTAACATATGTGCAAATTTTATAATAAAAAGGTCTTATATTCTTATATGATTTTTTGATTTTTTAAATTATTAAGCCCTGGGATAGGTCATGTGGTATATGATAATAAGAAAATGCCCAATATGTAAACGTTACCGGATGTCCTGATGAATCTATATTTAAATATCACTATAAGTCTATGGGATCAGAAGAATGATGGTTTATTTAGTCTCGAGGAGGATTACTATTCCTTCAATGCAATGATAGATCTAACGCTAGTATGATAAGAAAATTAGTCAAGGAAGCATATTCGAACAGATGCTCAAATGTATGGATAATGATGGATAAAAACCGTACTTGTGGCTCAATAAATATTCCTTTAGACTTTTGTCCATGTCTTGAATACGAAGATCTCAACTATGGTGATAAAGAACAGATGAAAAAAATTGATAATATAATTTCCTTGGGAGTGACTAAAATCAACGACATGTTAACAGAATATAATTTTAATTCAGTATGCCATACCTTTGCTTTTAAACCATCCAGAGAAGACAGCAAAAATATTACTGTATCTTTTAAAAATGGGTTTATATCGTCTGCAAATGAGGTATACACAATCACCGTTAAAGTAAATGGGTATGATCGTGATGCTCTATTAACATTTCATGCCATTTATGATTGGGTAGATATAACACAAGGCCTAAATTTAGATATATGCCAGCCAAGATTGAAGGTGAATCTTTAAATGAGTATAAGGAAAAGTCCGCAAAACAATTTTGTTTTTGTTCAAAATAAATTAAACGTAATTTTATTATTTCCCGATAGAATAATATATTTTTAGAATCTAATACGGTGTTATAATTAGATTTGTTCTATTTTTTTTTTTTTTTTTGAGGTTTTTATTTAATTATACAATGTAAATTCTATGTTTAATATTATAAATTTTAAAGATGCAATAAAAAAAAAATATTACTTCTTTAAATATGTCATTAGTCTTCGAATTATCTCTTTTGAAGTTTGTAACAAATAAAATGATAAATATCTTGACTTAATGGAGATTAATTTACTTTTATATTACCGGTTAATTTTTTTTTTATTATATATTTGATATATATAGCATAGCGAACATTCATTATGATTGGTTAGATTTTGTTGATCATCTCGTGATTTTATTTGCTAATCATCCAATCAAATTATGAAATAATCGAGATAATCGTTGTGATGATCGTGGAATAATGACAGGTATGTAATATTAATATTGGTCTTTAAAGTTTTACTCAAATATTAAGACACATAATTATGCACATAATAAATGCCCTTAATACTTTATAATCTCTTATAAAGAAGAAAGATCGAATTTATTATTGTGAGATCAATAAATTTTATCTATTCTATCAATTAATACAGTTCCTTTTTGCCTTTCCGTACGTTTTCATTAAATATTGCAAATAGTGCTAAAATTTGAGGGTTTCGAATTGAAAATATAGAATCTAATAAATCTACATATACTCTTTTGCTAACAACACTAACTTAATCCTGCAAAGAGACGTAGAGTAAAATAAAATATCATTTTAAAAGTAACAATAGTAAAAGCATAAAAAAGAATAAACATATCATCTAACCTGTTATTTATAAACCGCAAACAACGTCTTGAGAAAACTATAAATAAATAAATAAATAAATAAATAAATATATATATATAAAACCGAAAAAAGTTAAATCGTATAGTTTAAATAGATTACAAACCAAATAGAAAGTTTTAGAATACTTAAAAAATGGTTCTCATCTAACTTCCGAATTACCTCGCCGATTACCAAATTACTTTACTGTCTTGTAGAAAAGATGGTATAGTTTCTAAATATTTATATCACAACCTCTGCGAATTCATATTCGTGGCTGCGAATCAATTCTTGTGACTCTCGTGACGGAAAATCGTTACTTTAATAATACTTTAGTATGACGAGAAGATCTACGAGATGATCTACAAAAATCAGCCAATCACAATAAAAGTTCGCTATACTGGCCTTACCTAATATGGACCTATAAATCCAAATAGTGGGATCTACTTCCATTTTACGTCGAGGGTAAAGTAGCTCGATTGCCACAGTGTGGTTTAACATATTTTCATTTTTGGTTCGAAGGCGCTTATTTAGTTAACAGTATTTATATATATATGTAAGTACGTACAGTACGTATGTACCTACGTGCATGATTGTTTTATGGACGAAGATTATTCGAAGAAGTTTAATTTTAATGAATTTGAAGGTTTAGAAACAATTTCGGATGGTTCAAGTGAGGTCAAACTCGCTTATATGTCAACTGAAAAAAAGCACGTCGTCCTCAAATTTTTAAAAGAATATAAACAAGACGCATATTACAAGAAATTTAACAAAGAAGTATGTTACTGCAAACTAAAAACGAAATTTCAGAATTTTAGTGTTTCTTTTACTAAAAGATATGCAATAATTACTTATTATACATAATAGATAGCCAATTTAAAAAAAATCCTCCCCAATGATTATGTGATCAAATTTCTTGGCGTAACTAAAGGTACTTTTTTTATATACGTCACGTCATTATTCCAACTTTTCGTATAATATTCATATATATTTTCAGAAAAACATGTCTGTATTTGATTAATGTCTTTAATTTTTCATTATTTAATTATTTAAGAACCTCACAAGAAGTTTTATTCTATGGTGCTTCAGTACTGCTCTCATAAAAGCCTTAGGGATTACTTGAAGGAAAAACAGGAAAAACAAGACGATTGGCCTTATAAAAAACTAATGGCCAAAGAAATTGCCGCAGGCTTGGGATATATTCATAAGGCAAATATAGTACATTGTAATTTGGTTAGTATATCAATTATAAATTCGAAAGGGATTTTGTTGCATACAATTAATCTTCATTAACTATATTTTGATATAAATATCAATAACAGAGCTCAAAAAACATTTTAATGCACAACGATAAATTGATGATTATTGATTTTAGTTCATCTATATCTCTTGAAATTCAAACAGAACCTACTCTCAAAATCACTGAGGAAAATGTTGGCTATGTGGATCCGCAATTATTTTATCCTACGTGTGATTATAATTATGATAAATCTTCCGATATTTATAGTTTAGGGGTAATATTTTGGGAAATATCAAGTGGCAGGCCTCCTTTCAGTAATAATTTTGAATTATACACGAATAATCTTAGACCTTTTCTTGCTCAAGGCGGTAGAGAAACTCCTATTAATTTTACACCTATAGATTACAAAGAACTTTATTGTGATTTATGGAATTCGAATCCTGAAAAACGACCATCAATTAGCGAAGCCGTTAATCGCCTCAATGATATTGAGTTTGAATGTGTATATCAAGATTCTGATTATATCACAGAGGTTTTTTTGAAGGATTGGATTCGAGTTACTTCGAAAAGTGCTGCTTGTTTAGAGGTTATTAAAGGATCAGCTTTAAATTTATACATTTTCCTTCCTCCAGGTGAAATATCTGTAGGAAGGAGTAGTTCGAACGATGTCATCATAAAAGACCAGGAAGTTGCCAAAAAACATACAAGAATTACTGTAACTACTCAAGGACAAGTCGAAATCAAAGAATTAGATTCAATTATGAGATTTTTGTTAATGACAAAAGGCTTGGATTTCTTGCCTCCCATCTTTTAGTAAGAGATGATGTAATTTCAATGGGGCGTAGCAAATTTCAATACCTTCCCGCTGGAGAATATAAAAGTCGGATGGATGAACCTTTGTCGATCTATAATAAGACTTATTTTTTGAAAAAATTGGAAGGTGAATTCAAGAATGCAAAGGAAAATAAATGTGATTTGAGCTTATTGTTTTTAGATTTAGATGATTTTAAAAGCATAAATGAACAAAATAATCATATTGTTGGAGATTACGCTTTAAAAGAGTTGGCTAATCTGATTCGAAATAATCATATCCGTTCTGAGGATATTTTTGCAAGATATGGAGGAGATGAGTTTACTGTTCTTCTCAAGGGCACTAATATAGAGTCAGCCTCTAAAATTGCTGAAGAAATTCGAGGATCTGTTGATGCTCATTCGTTTGCCTATAACAAAATCAAATTATCAATTACACTTAGCATTGGAGTTTCCGAAATGGATTTGTCAGTAGAAACTTGTGATAAATTACTTCTTCATGCCGACAAAGCATCGAAGAAAGCTAAAGAATACGGCCGCAATCGAGTAATAAGATGGAGTGATGAATTAAATTCAACATGCATGTTAACAATTTATTATTATCTGCTAATATCAGGGATGGTAAAGTGGTCATTTGATTAAAATTTAAATGACCTCAAAGTCATCAAACAAATGACCTCAAAGTTATCAAATAAATGGCCTCAAAGTCATCAAATAATGACCAGGTCATTTGAGTCATTCGCATATAAAATAATTTTATTGGTTGAATTGTTTACATAAAAAGTTAACGCTTTTCTAATAAATAATTATAGCTATATATTAAAATTAAAATTTTACTAATTATTATTGATACCTTAAGTTCAAAATAATAAAATTGCACATGTCCTGAACTTTTTATGTAAATTTGAATAACTTTTCATTAATTCACTTTCACATATCACGAATTAATAAAAAGTTATTCAGTTTACTTATAAATTCCAGGACATATGCAATTTATTATTTTGAACAACTTAAAGTATCTATATTAATTAACTTAGTAACATTTTTGATTTTGATATATAACTACGATTATTGATTATATTATTATAAAATTTATTTTGTTTGGCGGTCAATTATGGTTTGTTCAAAGGTATTAGAAATATTAACTAACATCATTAAGGCCTTGAAATGATCAATGATTAGTCATTTGGATCATTTTAGGTCATTTATCATCCCTGGTTATCTATTACTATGTTCATATTTATAAAGTTTTGATTAATATATAATACTGTCGTCCTACAACAGCGGATGCTGAGTAAGTATATAGTTATTCATAAAATAATGTACACATTTAATCGTCAATATAATTCTCTGTTAAATATTACTTCTTCAAATTACCAGTGAGTAAGTATATAGTTTATTCGTAATATATTGTACACATTTTATCATCAATATAATCCTCTTAAATATTACTTCAAATTACCAGAAAGTAAGTATATAGTTTATTCGTAAAATAATGTACACATTTTATTGTCAATATAATTCTCTGTTAAATATTACTTTTTCAACTTATCAGATCGTAAATATAGTTTATTCATAAAATAATGTACACATTTTATCGTCAATATAATTCTCTGTTAAATATTTCTTCTTCAAATTACCAGGACGTAAGTATATAGTTTATTCGTAAAATAATGTACACATTTTATCGTCAATATAATTCTCTGTTAAATATTACTTCTTCAACTTACCAGATCGTAAGTATATAGTTTATTCGTAAAACAATGTACACATTTTATCGTCAATATAATTCTCTGTTAAATATTACTTCAAATTACCAGTTTGTATGTATATAGTTTATTCATAAGATAATGTACACATTTCATCGTCAATATAATTCTCTGTTAAAGATTACTTCTTCAAATTGACAGAGTGTAAGTATATAGTTTATTCGTAAAATAATGTACACATTTTATCGTCAATATAATTCTCTGTTAAATATTATTACCAGAGCGTAAGTATATAAGTTTATTCATAAAATAATGTGCACATTTTATCGTCAATATAATTCTCTGTTAAATATTACTTCTTCAAATTGCCAGGGTGTAAGTATATAGTTTATTCATAAAATAATGTACACATTTCATTGTTAATATAATTCTCTGTTAAACATTACTTCTTCAAATTACCAGAGTGTAAGTATATAGTTTATTCATAAAACAATGTACACATTTTATCGTTAATATAATTCTCTGTTAAAAATTACTTCTTCAAATTACCAGAGTGTAAGTATATAGTTTATTCATAAAACAATGTACACATTTTATCGTCAATATAATTCTCTGTTAAACATTACTTCTTCAAATTACCAGAGCGTAAGTA